TAAAAAATTTATAGAAAAGTTTTGTTTAACGGTTTTTTTTTTTAAAAGTAACAATCACAAAATGTAAAAAAATGTAAAGTTTTGACACTTTTTTGTTTTTTTGTCGGTTGTTTTGACGTAAAACAAACAAAAACACGTTTAATCTCACTGATTGTTGTTTTAACGACAAACAAAAAACAACACTTTTTTAACACATAAACAATAATAATAATCACCGGATAAATTTATTAAAAAAAAAAAAAAAAACGAAAAAAAACGTAAAAATAAACGAGGGAAAATAAAACGAAAACGAAAAAAAATTGTTTTTTATTTTTTCGAATCTATTTTCCAATTTTAAGGAAAAGTGAAAACTGAAAAACAAAATTTTTCCAAATGAGGGAAATGAAAAAAATTTTTTTTTTTTTTTTCGTAACAGGCATGCGCTTATTATTTCATTTCCTCTTTTTTTTCTTCCTTCTTTTTTCCCTCTTTTTTTCTCCCTTTTTTTATCCTTTACCTTTTTTCTTCTTCTACTTCTTCTTTTTTTCTATTTTTCATTTTTTCGTAGATTCTGCCACATGATATTTTTTTTTCGCTGAGCACGAACTTTTTTACATCTCTCTCTCTCTCTTTCTATCTTCTACTCGTGCCTATTTTCTAAATCCCTCCTTCCCCCCGCTTCCCCATCCGCATCCAGGAATATTTTTCTCTACTTTCATACGCATTTTATACTTATTATTATTATTATTATTATAGTGCTTCACGGATAAAAAAAAACAAAACAAAAATTTTCTTTTATTTATTTATTTTTTTACTTGATCCTCCTTCTACGGTTGAATTAGTCTTACGTGAAATATTAATAATTACCGCTCCCTTCCCCCCTTCCTTCCCCTTTCTTTCTCCCCTTTTTTCCCTTTCTCCCCCCTCATTCAGGCGCTTTCCTTCCTTTCCGACATTTTTTCATTTTTAACAAATTAACCCAGGTCGTAATAAATGAATTTTTATTCGACGTGTATAATAATTTTATCGATTTCACACCAGGGTCGTAACTAGGAAAAAAAAATTGACAATAATGTCCGATTCTAACGGTCGACACAACCCTGAGAAAACAATAATAATAATAATAATAATAAGAAGAAGAAAAGCAATCGGTTTTTACCTTTATTCTCTCTCTCTCTCTCTCTCTTTCTTTCCATATTTCCCTCACCTTAAAAAAAATTATCATTATCATCATCATTATTATTATTATTACTATTAGACATTGATTGATTAAAAAACAAAAAAAAAAAAGAAATTAAATTTGAAAAATTACCGGCAATTACCGAAAAAGGTTAAAAAAAAAAAAAAGATTCAAGTTTTAACGGAAGTGAAGAAAAGCTTAGAAAAAAAAAAAAGGAAATGAAACGAAAATATAAAATTTAAAAAAAAAATTATCGAATTTTTCGCGTCCAAAAAAAAAAAAAAAAATTCGTGTCGTCTGCTTTTTTTTTTTTTTTAAAAACTCATTATTCAGGATTGAAATTTTCTTTCTTTTACAATTTTTACCTGTGAATATATATTTTAAAGATTTTTCAAACGCATTATTTTAAGAGAAAAGATAAAAAAAAACATGATGATAATAATAATAATAATAATGATAATAATAATTTTACACGTTAACACCGATAAATGATAGGTCTTTACCGTCAAAATTACTTTTTTCCCTTTTTTTTTTTTTTTTTTTTTAGAAAAGATTCTCGTTTCGTATATTTTTCTTTGTTTTTTTTTTTTTTTTTTTTATCCTTCAAATTTTTTTTTAATATTTTTTTCATGTTTGTTATCATATACGTAATCAATCAAAAGAAAATCAGAAAATTTTACGACAAATAATAATGATAACGACTGTCGTAAGTTAATAATTAAAATAAAAAAAATAAATAAGGTATTAATCTCATTTCGTTTGCTGACTAAAAATGCAACGTTTTTCTAGAATTAAAAATGACCGCGAAAAAACATTCAAATTTTATTGTAAGAAAGAGGGCGCGGGTGTTCCATGGTGGTTGTCACGCGTTTGCATCATGTCAATTTTTATATTTAATTAATTTTAATAGTTTTTGTTTTTTTAACAGTTTAGTTATGTGTTATATATCAAAAGTTTTGTTATTTAGTCTAGTTTATTGTGATGTAATTAGTTTTTTATATTATTTAGTGATTGTTATATTATTTTAAGTTTAATTTTGCAAATGGACAACCGTTTCATGTGACAAAAATGGAAGCGTCAGCAATAAAAAATCTTAGAAGATGCCGTAGTAAATCTGATTATTACGGGTAAGTCTCTCATTTTAAACTTGAATTTCATTTGCAAAAACGTTAGCCTAACCAAGAAATGGAGCCAAATACCCAGAAAAAAAAAAAACAGATTGAAAATTTTACATTTATTTGATTAATTATGAAGAGTTTGACCAAATATCTTTTTCATCTCATCATAAAAAACAAAATGTTGGAGTAATTTAATGAAAAATATTTATTAATAATGATTGATTTGATATATATATTAACTCAGTGTACAAATTTCTATACTCTCTAACCTTTAAGGGTTAATTTAGTGATTGTTGGTTGTTTTAGACCTTTTCTTTAGTTAGTTTGTCTCATTACATCATGGTTGACTATATTGACAGTGTATTGTATCAAAATCAGGAGGAATTGGGTAGCCTATATGTTAGTTGATATTAGTGTAAGGAATTATGCAAACAGACACAATGGACCCCTTTTAATACATGTCTTGAGTTGATTATAAGTAGTTAAGCTAATTACCCCTGTCACACTGTATAAGAATAGTGGTAGTTTAATAAAAATATTTGTAATTAATTAATTTATTGTATCAGATGCATGTAAAATCTCTCTAAACTCCTATTTTAAGTGTGATTCTATTGATTGTACATTACTTTAACCCTTTTCTTAAGTTAGTTTGTTTTATTACAACATATTTTGCCATGTGCTTAGTGTAAAATTCCCCTTTAATTTCATTTAGGATTAGAAAAATGCAACTGCCTTCAGTTTAAGTTTATAGGTACAAAATTGTAATTTGTGTACATTAAGGATGAAATGCATGAGGGAAAGTTATGAAAAGGGGGAAATAGTAGGAAAATTAAGTATTGAAATAGTTTTAAGGAAAAAGAAGTATATTCTTTTACTAGGTATACTTAAATAATTCATGCCTAAAGATAATGATGATTGATTCATAATTGTAATAGAGGAAAAAAAAAAACAAGGTTGTGAATCCTTTTTCTCCTATTCCTAAACCACTTCACAAATGTCAATCCTTGAAGCCCAGTAGAGGAAATAACTTATTTCCATTAAATAAGATGGACTTGGGAAAACTTATGAGAATTGATGTGATGCTAATTATAATGACGATAGAAGGGTTATGATGACAAAACCTGTTCAAACATGCAAAATCACGGTTAGTTAGTTAGTTAGGCATTTATTCCTTATAAATCGGGATCGAAACCTGTAAAATAAATGTTGAAAAAGCTACGACAA